CATATAGTGAATATGTAGAAAAGTTAAAAAACTTTTCTCCACCCACATCCAATACTCATCTAATTTTCGGCGTCCATCCTTGCTGCTCCAATTTTAAGATGTATTCAAACTTAACAAACCATTTTAGAACCATATATTCTTGTGGCTTCTGGATATTTTCTGCAAACTAGATCAATTGTAGGGCTTTAAATTATTTCATACACTTAAAAACGTCTTAGTAATTGCTGAATGATAACACCAAGAGGAGCAGATGTTTATATATGCCGCGCATTATTACATTAATTTCTTGCAATGAGTTACGGTATAATTGAGAAAACAAATAGCGATGAAGTTGTCTTGTAATGGGAAATATTCTTCAAATTGTCTTTTTGGTTCCAACTTAATGAATTTCATTGATATTAAAATGAAAAATTAAGAATCTAGGAATAAAAAAATGTATCAATGTGCAGAAAGCACTTTTAGTATGAATGAAACGCATGTACGAGATGTATTGTCAGATAAATAACATGACAGGCGAACATCCAACATGAGATTTTTGTAAACTTGAGAATCCGACATATTCAAGTACGCTTCTTTAGATACTCAGGAGAACGAGCAATTCAGCAAATCCTGAATAGTGGTGTTGATATTACGTGAAAGCAGTTCCCTTCCTAACACTGTTCTAATTGTGGACGCAATCACCTGTCGAGGAGAGAATGTTAGTTTGTACCATGTAATCCTTCGACAGCACCGACCTACAACCCACCAAAACATGTTGGGGATGATCTTCGAGCATAAGCGCGTGTATCAACCAAATAAACCATTAACTTTAACAAGAATACTACAATTTGTAAGAACATTTTCAAATTGATATATCTACGACATTTAATTTACGAAATGTTAAAAAATAATACAACAAAATCATTTATAAAAATATAACTCGGCTATAGATAAATAAAATATTTAACTAAATACGAAAGAGGATGAAATAAAACACTAACGCTAGGATTTTCACTGACAAACAATATTTGTTTTCTTTTCTCTTCATTTTGCTTCCAATTCGCAGTCATTAGGATTTATTATTCATAAATTGTATAAATGAGCTAGAAATGATATTCAGTGAAGTTTTCCGATTCAAATGTTTTCTGTCAAAATTAGCTCAAAATGGCAAATTTTCAGAAAGGTTTTATCTTTTTTTCTCAAAAATAGCTCCACATTCTTCAACCAAAATTTGCACTTTGGGCCATATTTTACTTTTTCGCAATATTCTTGAAGTTATATTTCAGTTTTTTCATCAGGGAATAGAAGAATTGAGAATAAGTGAAAAAGTTTCTTTAGGAAAACGTTTTTATCAAGGTGGCAATGGCAACTGGGAAGAGAGAGGAGCAAAAGCAGAAAGGTACTCTAGGCTAAAGAATTTCGAAAAAGACATTCTTCACGAAATTCTGTGCGATTATGTAGCACCTGTAGTTTAGAACAGATTTCTTCTAAGAAAAAGTACCTCTCTTAAATATTGTACGTTAGTAATGTTAAATTTTTGCAATTTTCTAAAGTATAACGAGTTCACCGAAAATGGGCTAGTATACTATTTTTTGCTACATACGATGAAAAAAGTTAAATAACTAGAGGAGATACAGCAACACATAATTTCTAACATTATTGTAAACGGTTCCGTAATATAATAATATTAAAATTTCTGGTACCTCTTCAGCCAACACTTGAAAAATTTCAAAAAAATCAAAGGATGCGTTTGCGTTGCATATATGTTATTATATCAATAGTCAGAAACCGCACCATTTCATTATCTCCACAAAAGAAACAAACATCAAACTCAACTATTACAATATTTGCAGATGTGATTGCAACTTGCCTATATAAATAGGCAAGTAAGGATAATTTCCTGTATAAATTGAACATCCAGAATTGAATGTCATCCAATATATTGCATGAATATGGATGGGTATATAACTCGAGAATACACACTCATTACGAAATGTCCATCTTATGCATATACAATATTTATATATTTAATGTAGTTGATTATACCATTTTATTGAACGCAATGCCTTAATAATATTAATAAAGCCTCCTCCGTTTTACCCGTGTCCCATCCATGTCGCCATCCAACAATGAAATTCTCGGAATAACTTCTCAAACTGCCATAACGCAGCATTGTAGAACAACGATGTGTGAAAGATTATCTTAAATATTTGATTCCACTACTAATAAACTAAATAAATCACTAATGAACTAATATTAATTAAATAACTCCTAAATTACAGAACAACTATTCATGATTATATAACTCCTAAAAGTTTCTACATGAGAAGTTTGGGAAATTGGAATTAGCCATGTGGAAAATAGGCTAACTCACACTTTATTTTTAGAAAAAATTAACATAACCTTTTTTAAAGGACTGAATTTTTAAACAGATTTCAGTTAATACAAGAATAAAAAGCCGATTCGGATAGCCGAGATCTCTAAGGCAGTATTGCCGTAGTGATCTCGGACCAAAGGATTTCGGGCTCGAGTCCCGCCTCGGGCATGGTTGTATTGCGTTCGTCCTTTCACCCCCTATCCTCATATCGTGTCATCCTGAAAGTTACTCATGCCGTTACACGCAATAATGGTCGCTAATGACCTAGAAGTTGATGCGACCTTAAATAACAAAAAAAAAATCAAAAGAATAGGTCTCTAAGTGGCATGAAATTCAATGGATTTTTACCATTATCAGTTCAAAAAAGTGAATAAAAAGGTATGGAACAGTTTTCGGGAAGATGGCGTTTCATGGTTTCTGAAAATGTGAACAGCAACGCACGGAACGACCTGCGAGTGTACGGACCGATGTGGCACTCGCGGTAATCGAGCACCTTCCGAACGGAGACAGACGATGGACGCTGCTCGAGTCGAAGATCGAGAGTGGTATCGAGAGACGCACACTCGCAGGTCATCCCGTCGCTACGCGTCCTCGCTCAAACTCTCCTTGCGATCTCGACTGTCCTCTACACAAGGGCTTCCATCGATTTCCTGTGCCATCATAGGACATTTCTTTCACTGACAACGTCTATCGTGATGTAGGAACGTTGCTCGAAAGGATTACATTCATTTCGCACGGCGGTAGTCAGGCAACTGATTTCACATTGCTCTCTGTGCTAACAGAGACACTTGAATAACCATCTGATGTTGTGGACAATTACTTGTCCTGCATTTCTTTCACGCAACAAATAAATATAATAAGGTCCGATAATATTTCTTTAAGATGAAAATAATTAGCATAACTTCTGCTTCAATCCTCGTACATTTTGCTAGTTTTTAAAGCTATTCTTTTCGCGTATCAATGGCAAATGAAACGGAAATTTTAACAATTAAAGCGTTTGAATGATTTTTTAATATTCACGACGTGCTATAAATTGTTTTTGATATTTACATAATAAGAAATTGTTTCCGTTGAGCAAAAAATCATACAAAGACAAACAAATTTAGGGTGCTTAGCTCTGTAAACACCAACAAATGAATAAATGTGGTACAATTTAGTAACGCACGAAATAGCACGCTTTGCACTATGCCGTTAGGACATCTTTGCAGAATTAAAGATGTTTCCCCTACTGCTCAGTGGCGAGTGTAAATTTTATAAACAATATATGGAACATCTAAAGTGAAATTGTACAGTTCTCCATTGAGCATTTCTTGATTTAGAGAACATCGATTCTGTGAGAAAAAGAACGGATAACATTATATCTCTGTGCTACCAATGATTTCTGTCGATAACACCATTCATTTAAACAAATATATGTGGATTAATGTATCAACAAAGGATGGGAGATGTCAATACAAACTCGAATGTTTAGGAAATGTGTAATGCATATAACCTGAGGTAGTTTTAATTTATGAGACAGGGATGTAAAGTAAAAGTTTAAAATTAAAACAATATATCGTAATATGAAAAACATTATTGAAAACAAAATTATACATACATATTTTACATTCACATATATGTTCACACAGATCACTTTCGTAAAAATACTCATGAAATTCATGAAACGTATGACCATTTTATTAAATTATAATGTAACTCTATTGGGCGCTACATTAAAAATATAAAGAAAGTTTGTATTGTAGCGTCACGTTGGCTGCCCTGCGTGGGAGGAGGTCGCGGTAGCCTCGTATACCTAAGAACTGTAAGTAGTAGCCACGGCGTTGGGTTTAGTAGATATTTTTCAGGTGGCCGCCGGCTTGTCTTGCAGCAAGTGTCACATAATAGAAAACCTTGCTCCCACACTCAAAGGTAGCCAGGTGGGGATGAGTCGGTGAGTATAAATAGGGGTGACTCGCACACGCCGGCGGGTTTTGTTCTTGTGTACCTCGCGCTTTGCGCAAACTTCACGCCCAGAGTGGTGCGTACTCGTGCGTTGCACGGGTGACGACGGTCACGTGAGTGGCACGGTAGCGGCGCAGGCACTCGAGGTGGGGCCTCTTTGGTAAATGTGGTGTTTCCACAGGATGGTACGATCGCCGATGGCGGTCGGTAAATGCCGGAAACTGTGTACGGAGTAGTTCAATACATGATTTGTACATTTTTAAATAACACTTGCATATACATTTTTAGCGTGTTTGCTTCCACGTTGCCACATTATGCTCTACAGTTTAGATTTTTTGAGATTTGATGAAGCGTCAGCTTATAAAACTTTGTGTAGATTTTCTTATTCTCGTAAAGATATTGAACCAATAACAAATCAAATGAGACATAGCCTTATACATGTTAATATTCTCTCACAATTTTAATTCTTTACCGGAATCATATTTACACAGATACATCGAAAGGTAACTTTCATTTATTTAATGAATTCTTGGGGTTTGAATAATTTGGTGAAGTAGTGCTTTGCATTGTTTTCAAAGAACGATACCCTAAACGTTCACAGTAGGAAATGCTGGTGTCATAAACCATCATTAAATATGTACAAATAAATACAATTAATAAAATAATAGAGTTGAATGTATTTGGATTCCAATGGGTTAGCCTGGATAAGCAGCACACACGTAACAGGGATTGGTTTTGAAGAAATAGTGTGATCATTATTCGGCAAAATAACATGTTAAAAATTTGCAAGTTCTTATCATGATTAGTGCACTTAAGTTTTAGTTGAATGCATACGATCGCATTTAGTACAACATAACATTTTTCAAAATGTTTGGATAAGCACGATTAGCCGACGCGAAGTGAAAGCGGAGAAGCTTCGCGCTACATGAAGGAGAGGGCTAACGGGCCTCAATCTTGAGCCAGATGCCGTCGTCGGATGCGGTGACGAGCGACTTGGGGTCGAATCGCAGCGGCACCTTGGTTCTGGCGCACGGGGAGAACCGGTACTTGGAGAGCAGCATGGCCAGGCCCAGCTTCCCTTGGAGGATGCCGAACCGCATGCCTGCGACAGAACGCGGCCGTTTAGAAAGCGAGCGTAACGCAAACGAGATAGTGTTGAAGTTGTCCAATTAAGCACTTGAAGACCATTGATGTCACAGAATTGATGATTGGTTTAATGTAACACGCTTCAATGAGAATGTTAACTGGTCTCCTTCCTTCCTATATCTTGAGTTTGTAATAGCTTTGTTTTTTTCTAACAGAAAGGAAGGAAGGATATATTCTATGACATCAATGGTCTTCAAGTGTTTAATTAGTTTCAATTGGACATACACACACACACACACACACACACACACACGTTTTCATCTTAGGAGTTGGCTCCCGACTGGTCTCTTGACATGTGTGGTAGTGTAGTGCGTGTAAGTGTAAGGGTGTGTAAGAAAGGGGCGGGTAGAGAACGAGGAAGAAGATGGAAATATCATGAGATCCGTGGCCGGGTTATTAGGTTATGCTCCGTCATTTGCACGCAATTGTGCGGAGAAACCACGAAAAACTACTAACAAGGCAACCAGTCGTAATTCCCCTCCAAACAGTGGCTGAACTCGATCTAGAGAGCTTGAGTTGAAAATACGCCAATATCAGTACTGAAATCCCATAACCTCCTGACCAGAGCATCTTCACGGATATCGACAAAGCTGGCTCTGAACAAGGGCCTTGCAACTCCCCATCAAATCAGGGGACAAAGCTTGAGGGTGCTACTCTAGGAGGTGCTAGTGTTGTCGGGCCCAGCTGCAATTAAGGCTCGTTAACTTCCACACGAAAAAATGAGCTAATTTCTGAGAAATAGGAAAAATGTCTTTTAAATGTTCAATATGCACAAATAAGAAACCCCTGAAGGAATGGCGAACATCGACGCTATCTTGTGTAACATTATGGGCCTGCTTGCGATCCGCGAACTCACGCAGTAGCCACGCACGTTTTAAGTATCGTTGACTGCAGTTCGCTTTGTAGTTCCTGTAAGAAGGTGCTGCAGTAGAGCGCGCCACCGTAATGGTTTCCACTCCCATATAAATGGAAGTTATAAGGCCCTGCTCTGAACCCTCTCAGCAGGTCTGCGTCCTGTCAGAGAGGTGCTGCGGAAAGAGAGAGGCGCTGTCGGCTTCACCCACCGATGCAGATGCGCGGGCCCTCCCCGAAAGGCAGGAAGGCGTAGTGGGGTCTCTTCGCCTTCTCCTCCTCGCTGAAGCGCTCGGGGTCGAAGCGCTGGGGGTCGGGGTAGTACTTGGGGTCGTGGTGGATGGCCATCACCGGGATATTCACCCAGAGCCCCTTGGGCAGCTGCACGTCGCTGCCGGGGATTTTGTAATCACGGGTCACCACACGCACCAGGTTGTTTCCAGGCGGGTACTTGCGCAGCGATTCTGTCGATTTGCACAAACACATTAAAGAAAAAATAGAACAATTTAGTATTGAACAATACATACTATAGCTTAGTATAGTACATTATAGTATTCAGAACGTATGAATAGTGTATACTGTAGTATTATGATATATAGTATGACTCTTGATATGATATATATTATGATGTATTTATGCCTATGATATATATTATGACTCTTACTAGTTTACGTAAAAATATGTGCAAATTCCCGTTGAGAAATGTGCTAGTTACGTAATGGTTATGTGAGCAAGTACGGTATATCTTGCGCCGATGGACATGTTGCAACATAATACACCAGAGTGCAGCCGATAATACAAATGAATAATAACATTTAAGGAAGTATATGATTTTTAAATATCAGTGAAAGGACTGGATAAACATTTTCGGCAATACTAGTTTTGTTTTAAATCTACTTGTGTTGATTTTCGTTGTTTTAGTTTATGAATTAATTAAATAAACACATCATAAAACGCAACTTTTGAGTAATTCGTAGAATTTTAAGACTCATCAATAACTGAAACTATAATTACTGTAATATCTGAGTATCGGATAGATCATATACAGTAATATTACTTCATTAAGAGCTCGCCAACTCACTACATCACATTGCAGTTCTATAATTAACTTCGTTCATGCATTATTATATCACTGAAACATCATTTATAACTACAATATCCATAGCTTGTTTTAAACACCGAATGCAAATAACGATTAGCTCTAACGTGCTTCGGAGGAAGCAAAGCAAAGAAAGGCGGCTCACCGTTCCACACCATGTCGAGGTAGCGCATGTTTTGAATCGCGTCGTACGTGAGATGGCCGCCGTTGTCGGCCATTGCCTCGTCCACTTCGTCGCGCAGGCGCTCCTGGACGTCGGGGTTGAGCGCCATCTCGTACAGGGCGAAGCTGGAGGCGGTGGACGACGTCTCGAACCCGGCGATGAAGAACACAAACACTTGAGCAGCCAGTAAGTTATCCGTCATTTCTGCAACACACCAGGTACGAATTTTAACTCAACATTGCTCTAGATTATATTTATTCAGTCAAAACAACAGTAAAAACTGTATGTGACGTAGGGAGGAAAATATTATCTGCACACGTTTTCTTGACTTCCAGAATCCCTTCCCGTCATTTTAATTATAAATAGTTGAATGGTGAGTAAAAGTTTAACATAAATAAATAAATAAATTACGAACTGTAAGGTCACAACTACTCTTGCCCTAATTGTGGCACGAAATTTGAATTTGATAATCACATACACTCTTTCTAACAGAGTTAATTCCTTGATTGCAAACGGAGACGTGTTTCATGAGAAGTAAGCAACTGGATCAGAGGAGCCACGGTTTTTATAAAGATGAGAAACAATACAGCAAGTAACTGGTCACAGAACACTCTTGCACTATATTTGTCTTACCAGTTTCTATCTTCGCCCGAAAAGAGCAGTTGTTGGCTTATATTCAGTATGAATATACTTAATACTGTACTGTATATATTCATACGTACTTGCTGCATCTGTAATTCCAGGAAGAGCGTGAGCTTTCAAACTTCCTTGAAACAAGTACGTAATAATGACGTGGCAGTAGTGAATAAAAGCAAAGAAACGCGCGGTAGTCACGTTTTTTAAAAATATTTGACTCTTCACCACGACAACTCAATGTACATCCGCAGATCGGAAGTTGTTAAGACTCAAAGAAATTTGAAAATGTAGATCACGAGATTTGGTTGGAGTGAATTAAGAAATTAAAACTGTTTGCCGACCTTTCGGTATATTTTTATTCCATCCTCAAAACGTAGTGGTTAACTCCAATAGAACTCCACATAGAGGGTCTGTGGGAGGGTCCAGCCAGCTCACGTCCACCTCAGGCCAAGGCATCATTGCAAGTGAATGAAAATTCTACTGTGAGTCTTGCCACTATATTTATGAGAGATTGTAACCATAGTAAGTAAGCCCTGAGGATTTAATTTAAATACTCCAAAACGTTGGCAAACTTTTTTTATGTGTTAATTTGCTCCCACCAAATACTATGATCTACATCAACCAATTCTATTTAATGGTCGTGAATCTAGAATGATTAACTGAAATGAATGACCACTGAATTACAATCGTTAGTATACCATTATTATTTTGAGTTTAATTTGTTACAGTGAATTCGAGTTACAATATTACTACGTATTTCTACTAATATTACTACGTACATGTAATTATAAATGTTAATTCATGCTGCTAAAGATAAATAATGCCAAAATACGACATATCACAACACGAAAAAGCAAGTAAGGGTGTGAATTTCTTTGTGGCCAAAATTGAGTGGCAAGTTTCAGTTTTCAATTTTGTAGTCGACAAAATTCTGGCTCTTAAAAAGGAGAAGAAAACAGGAGGAAGAGAAGAAGAACGAGGAAGAAAAGGAGGAAAGAGGAGGAGAAGTGAAGGAGGAGAAGAGGAGGTGGAGAAGAGGAGAAGAAAGAGAAGAGGAGGAAGAGAAGCAGGAGGAGAAGATGAGGAGGAGAAGAGGAGGAGGAGGAGAA